AGGTTAATGGAAGTGCATCTATTGTAGGGAGCAGATTTACTCTTAACATGGCCACTCATAATAGTCAGTGAGGGCCCTCTTTACACAAAGATGAAGTGGAAGATTTACATTTTTTTCCATTCATGATAATGAATTTAATTATCATATTAAATGGGCCATTATGGAACTTCAGGCCTACTATGCATTGAAATGTGCAGCTCATGTTGAATAGTTCTGCCCAGGCAGTTTTTTTTCCCCCCTCTTCTTTTTTTTTCAGCATGGTCAACTTTGTGGTGGTGGGGAAAGTGCTTTTCAGATCATTTAAGTTAAAGTAGCAGCATAACAATCTAAAACTTGTGGATTACAAGTCTGGCATTCAAACTTTTAGTTGAGGTTGCATTTACACAAACCAAACAGACTCAGACTCAGAGACACAGCCCTCATTCTGATACCACTGGCCAAACACTGTATGCTAACACATGCACCCAACTGTGCAACATGAGTGTCCCATTGTTTGACACAACTGCATGAGCAACGATTTATGGACAAGCTTCAAGGCTGCTGAACAAGGAGGAACAACCAGACCAAATTAGAACTATACGTACAGCGCCATGCAAAAGCTTTCTGCATTTTAGATGTTTAGATTATTATTCATCAACCCAATACCATCAGAGAGGCATCTGATTGGTCCCAAATTCATTCTGCAGCATGACTACAAGCCCAAACACACAGTCAGAGTCATATCTTCAGAGACAACAAGAACAAGGGGTCCCGCAACAGATGGTATGGCCCCCACAGAGCCCTGATCTCAACATCATGGAGTCAGTCTGGGATTACATGAAGAGACAGAAGACACTGAGACAGCCTAAATCCACAGGAGGGCTGTGGCAAGTTCTCCAAGATGCCTTGGAACAACCTACCTGCCAAGTACCTTCAAAAACTGTGCAAAGGTGTACCGAGAAGCATTGGTGCTGCTTTAAAGTAAAAGCCTGGTCGCAGCACATACAGGTTTGATTTAGGGTTTTTTTCTGTTTACTGCACTTTGTATGAAGTTAAGGGATAAATACAAACTACTTCTGACACTATTTTTTAAAAGCATCCTCGTTTTACTTTCAGTGCCTGAAACTTTTTCACAGTGCTGCACATAACCACACATCAAGCACCAACAGACCACAGAATGTGAGACGTGTGTGTGTAACCAATGCAATGCTGTCTTTCCATCCATCAACAACAGATATAGCAACATCAGTGTTGACACAAAAGCAGACAGTAAGCTAGCACGTGTGTGCCATGTGCAAAATAATCCACAGAACAACAATAATACCAGTGACAGGAGGAGAATAAGTTTCACTTACCATAGAGACTGCTGAGGGCTGAGGCCAGCAAGTGTAGGCGTTGAACTCATCTCCAGATAACAGCCTTTCAGTCATTAGTGCAGATAATGTTTCTCTCTCAGGTCAGCTGGGCCTCCAGTTAAGCAGCTGGCTTCACTGGTCCTTCAGTTTGTAAAGCACGGCTTGTTGATGTTATTTCCAAGTTTTTACAAGTTGAAAAGGCAATGTCTTAGCAGGAATTAGAGGCATGGGCAGCCTGTATACATTTAAGGATGGCTGGGTCTACTGATATCCGGGCATCGAGCAGCAGCAGCATTCCTGCTCAGTCTTGGCTCATAACAGAGCACCGTTTACCTATGTGAACATAGACTGGATGTAAACACACTTGGTTTGGTTTGATGGTCCCAAAGGTCGCCCCAGAGAAGCAGAAAGGGCAGCGGGTGGAAACGGACAGTGGCGGCTGACAGACCGCACCTGAGCGAGGTCCTCCGCCGAAGGTGTCTTCATTGACACTGATGTGGCTCTGTTTAAACATGGCGTATTTAACTCCCCTGCAGCACTCGCCTCTGCCTCGACCGTATACTCCGGTGCTACAACAACTCACTTCTCTGCTTGTTTACACTTCTGGGTCAGGAAGAAAAACAGTCTTTTCAGTCAGCTAACTCAATTTTGGTGGCTCCTCTGTCATGAACAGACCCTCTCCAGGGCAGACATTTTGACTTGTTGAAGCACAGGTGCAAATAACAACATAAATGATGGCGGCAGTCCATTTAGGTGAGCCGGTTCCAGGGCTCTGGTATTGTGCATGATCATTCAACGACATGGCTTCCTGGCACACTTAATGGGATGAAACCATTGTTAATTTTGTGATTTTCCTGCTTTGACCAGTTCAAATTCTCAATTATCACTCACAAATCTGCCCAAAATTCTACCCAGTGCACCCCAACACAACAGGAATAAAAACATAAGCATTATGGGAAAATATAATGCTGATACACTTTTAAAATAATGTATTGCTGATGAGGAGGTAGTCTTAATGTAAAAGTCCATATAGTTACAAAAGGATATAAAACGTTCCACTTCTCTAAACTTGCATTTGAGTTTAAAATGTTTTTATATTTAGGCCTAGTGCTTTTGTGAATACCAAAAATCAAATATTAATATTTAAATGCATAGTCTTAGATAGTTACAAATAAAACCACCTCTTTCCAAAACGTGTAGCTATATTCACAGTACCAACTATTCAGTTCTTTAGACTGAATGGAAGCTAAAGCTGAGTGGAGCAATGATGTTTTATGGGACCTCCTGCATCCTTCCAATTCACTGCTCGCTTTTATATTTTTCTGCAGCTGCACACCCAGTCCTTATTGTTTGCTGAAGTTAGATAAAATGCCTAATTAAATTTTAAACATAACACTCGGTCACAGGGGATGTTATGTCACATAATCTAACCCAGGGATTTTGTAACATTCTCCCAGAACACCTTTATTATTGTGCAACTGCAAACCATGTGGAAAAAGGTGCAATGAAAGATCAAGTCAACTTCTTCTAAAGTTAGAGAGGAGTGATATATACTCTATTTATAAAGCTATAAACCTCTCCAGTATGATTCCAGTTTTCATTTTCATTTGAGTCAATGATCAGTATTTTTTCCATATATTTCCCAGCAATCACAAATTGCACTTAAGCACACTATTTGAGTCAATTACTGTCCACCTCGGGCTTTGCAATACTTATCCTTATTTATTAGTGTCAATGTATTTACATCTAATCTGACAAAGCAAAATGTATTACATCCTAAAGTAATGCAGCTTTCAAGATAAGTTCTCTCCTGTCACACATCAGTTGTCTGTGGGTTGTTCAGTTATTCTGGGGAACTTGAGCAATAGGAATCTTAGGTGGATGTAGATAAGGTGGGGTAAGGGGTCTATCTAATCAATGCAATAAATAAAAATCTTCACAAAACATAGGGATACCTAAACTGACTTGTGTTAGAATATGAAAAGATGGATTTGTCTTCTCAGTGTCCTCTCAGTGATGATTCACAACAGACTCTGATGTGCGATTACTACAGCACTTTGTGGGTAAAAGAGACAATTCATCCCAAACCCTTTGTTGCTTCAGATATATTTATCTTCTCAGAGCACTTAGATCTACCACTGCATTTTCTTCACAGGGTAATGTTTAAAAAACACCACCAGAGGACTGAACAATGTGTTTGATGTTAAAAGCTGCACTTACTTTTTAAAGGGAAAATAACCCACAACAGTAGAGCAACCCAATTACAGGAATTACAAGAGCATATTGTATATAGCCCTCAAGTCAGTAATACAGACTATATGGGAGGTATGTATACATAATATAATGCCTTAATTATGCACAACAGCATATTTGGGGTGCGTGTTAAAACTTATTTTACATTTTAGAGTGAAAACAACTCTTTAGGGCTTTCACTCTCCAAGTACCAAAGCTTATTACTACAAAACAAATCTGGTATAATGGCAAAACAAAGCATGTAAGGAAACCATGGTGAAACCAAATGAGGGGAGGAAGCATTACTCTGCAGTACAGATGAAGACATGAAAAACAGCACTTTCATTTCAATTGTTTATTAAGATATAAAGCAGGCACATGAATATAAGAAACGTGTGCACTAATAAGTCAGCTCTCAATAACAAAAAATCCACAGCAAAGTAGTTTAATATCACTCCAGATTCAAATCCAAACTCTAATACAGCAAAAGACAAACTGTGAAGAACATACTGAAAAACAATCGAAATGCTCAGTTCTACAGTAAAAAATATCCACCTGTCAAATAACCATACTTGCCCATCCTGCTTTAGTTCACAGATGTCAAACGAGCAAAACAAAGATTCAGCCCTGAGGCCAAAGCAGCAGAATTTCAAAGCCTCGCTGTACACCAATGCACCACTATGCAGCAGAATGCTACGAATGACTGGAGAACAAGCTGCAGAGAGCGTCCACCCTGCAGTTGTTACCTGAAGTGAAAAGAAAAAAACTTTCTCCTGTTTCATTTTAAAGCTCCAACACTTGGCAACTTGTTTGTAGGATTTTTATGATGATTTAAGATTGTGCATGACATAACAAAATCTTGATTAGTGTTTAAGCCTAAGGACAAGGAATACAAACAGCAAGGAGAGTTTAAAGTCAATGGAGTCTCGTTCTTTCCGTGCCTACCTCTAAGCTGAGAAGAGAAAACATATTGATCCCTCAGTTTGGACACATTCTTAAGATTGTGGAGGTGTTTGGTCTCATTGACAGTTAATGAAGCTTGTCGGCTTTAGAGAAGACCGACATGTGGTCTCTACTCATTGTTTAGCCCACTGGGTTCCCCAGACTCAGAGGCATCAAGGCTTCTTTACAAAGTGTGACTGGGTTATCTGTGTGCCTTGTGTGTAGAATCAAGCACATGTACCAGTCATGTAGCAAAAACAGAAGGCTGAGAAGAACACTCCGTCACCTTTGGTTTGCTGCATCATGTGAACATGAAAAAAAAAAACAAAAACAAAGAAAAAAATAATTTGAGATGCTTAAATGATTGAGGAATGACATTTACCAGTCCAAATGTTACAGAGGGTACAAATCATTAATTATACAGCACTGAAAAAAAGTGTTTAACGTCAGTTTAAACTTATTTGACTGTTTATAGTGGCATAACAATGTATACAGTTAGAAAAGCAGTGAGCAGGCACACATGGAAATATATTGACTTTTTTTTTTTTAAAGGCTGAACCAAAACATATCTAAATGTTAGCAGTTAGCCCAGCACATCCAAATGAACTACAATTATTGCTTGAGTTAAAATAAGGCAGTTGAGATTTTGCATAGTTGATATTAGCAGTACAGAAGGTATTTTGCCATAATCAAACATTATAGTGTAAATCACCACAATCCCCACAGTATTACTATAAAACTGGTTAGAATACAAAATAATCAAAAGCCTCTTGAAATTAATTCTCATAATATCTATGAAATCCCCTTCCTTCCTTCCTTCCCATAAAGATGAAAGAAAAATGGAAAAATATAAAAAAAATGCCTTTGTCCAGTTGATTTCCCTCTAACTGTATTTTCCAGGTAAGAGACAGTTAATGGTACAGACTAGAACACATCTGAACTCATGGAATAGAAATGAGGCAGTGTAGGAATATAATGGGTCAAACAAACAAGCTGTCTATGCAAAGATAGAACAAATATGTTAAAACATTTTCTTTTTGATAGAATGACAAGCTCAACCTACATATAAACTCATTGGTCATTTTTTTGTGTTCTGTTGAATCAAAAGTCTAGATGCTATCCATGGCTTTAAACTCGCTCAGAGCCTGCACAGGGTTGATATGTTTCTTGTGAGAGGATCTCTTGACTCTGTTGGTTTGGCCGTCATCCTGCTTCTCTCTTTTCACCAGAGGTTTCTTCTCAGGAGCTTTCATCCTCCAGGAGATAGCTGGCATATTGAGGGACTCCATGCCTTTGCTCTTCTGGTACTTAGTGGATGCAACATAGGAGGCCTTGACGGTGGACACCACTGTGTTCATCAGGTTCTTTGCAGCCTGAATGAGGGACATTGCGCTGTCCAACTGATAACACAGAAGGGACATGAGAAAAGAGCAGAGAAACAATTAGCCTTGTAAAATGGTGAAAGCAAAGGCTGTTGTTTACATCCTTTTTGAATTCATGTTGAGTGAAAGTAAACTGCTCTTGTCCTTCTAATGCCGCCTTGTTTTGTACTGCAAGTTTTCCAGGGGAAAACCAAAACCATAGTGTTTGTACTGAAGAATTAACGACCTTTCCAAGTTTGTCTGGCATACAAACAGATGTGAGAAATTGGGAGAATATGGAAAAAGGTCACACCAATTTAATCTCCACAGTTTAATAGCCTCAGAGACACTGGTGACACTTGACTGAAACTTTAGGAAGCATACTCAGCCCAAGAGAAAGGACAGAGGAATTCATTATTTCCTGCACACAGAGGCACTGTATTTTAATTAATCTGACTGGCAAGTAAGTAGTTAATTAATGCTTAAGAGGGTTTGCAAACACTGGCCTTTTACAACGTTATCTTAAGTACTAGAAATGTTAGGAAATATTTGGGCAACATTAGTCCTTTCCAGCAGAGAAACCCATTATTTCTGTTATCACTTTATATATAAAATATAAGCTGCAAATAAAAGCGCGGAGAATGAATCATTAACTCAACACAACCACCAGCTGGTGCCATTAAGTCCTAGTATTTTTAATTTATTTGGGTAACACCAGAAAATAAAACTTTAGGAAGTAGCCAATGCATTTTATTGATTTAATAATCTTTCTAGCTAGGAATTAAAGGTATCCTGCGGATATTTCACTAAAAACAGTTCTGTTTACATTCATTGTTTCTCACAAAAAGAGCAATGTCTGTATCCTTGAGGCTTCATTACATTTTTACCCTTTTTTGTAAATGTTTGAAACCTACACTGTCTCCCTGCTTTCGTCTCTTATTGGAACATTGCTAAATTTGTAACCGCATTACTGGCACCAACTCTTATGGCCCTCTGCAGTAATCAAAACAAGCTTAGTGAATAGTTAAAATAAAGGAAAATACTAACTACTAACAGCTCAACTGCTGTTTAGTTACTGTGGGGCCTTTTCATAATGAAGACAGCAAATTGTAGACAATGTGTCCACAGTTAAAATGATGTTGAACTTACCCCTGAGACAACCAGCTCTCCTCCCAGGTTCTGAACCTCAGCCTTGACTTTGCTGCAGATGTTGAGCTGGTGGCAATACAAGGCAATACGCTGCAGGTAGGCAAGCAGATCCTGCTTACAGGCTGAGTCGGGGCACTGTGAGAGAGAAAGACAACATGTGTCAACTAATGTGCACGTCAATTAGTATCTAAGCTTTGTTTGTTATAATACTTGTTTATTATAATACTAGCTGCTTGCAGGTGGTACAATGAATCAATTTTTGTCACTTATTCATCTGCTGCTACTACTCAATCTGAATATTTATGCGATTCTACAGACACAATGATCTTGCACTTTATCAAGATGAGTTAGTACCAGTGTGACAGGTAAGGTAGACACCCACATTAGGGACGTGCTCAGAGCCAAAATGACAAACGCACGCCCACAACCTGGTAGATTGATAACTCATCTTCACAAGGTTAAGCATGATCAAGTCACACAGAATGCAAATTCTATTAGGAGCCAAATTTTGCTGTCAATCAATGCGTTTTAGGTGGTGGTAATAATTTTGCATCAAGTCTCTTTGGAAACAAAACTACTTGCTCTGGAGTGTGAACAGCAGCCCTGTGCATAGTTAAGGAACATTTTCAAAATTAAAACAGGTGACAGTCATCATCCTAGTTGTCAGTAATCTGCATTCTTGTGACACAAATGTTTGAGAAGACTCTATCCTAACAACTTAAACAGTGACTTCAGGTGTGAAGTTGTAAATAAACTGCCCAGGGCTGGAAAAGCACTCCAACAGGCTTCATTAAGTCCAATTAATTCTCTGAGGAAATATGCAAGGGATAGGAGGTAGCTTAAAAAGTGTGGCAAAACAATTTTTTAGACCATAGGTTCAGACCAAGTTGAAAAAGCCTCTTATTCTTGGTTCCACCGAAGCATAACAATATTGTCAAAAGTCAGCTAGGAACACAAAAACAAAATACATTGGAGCCATAAAAAATCCATCAACTTCAAGAAATCCAATAAATTCTCATAAAGCCTACTTGAAAGTGGCAGGATGTGAAGAGCCCCACAAGTGCATCTCATTTAGAATTGGCAATCTTTTTGAATTATTTCATCTCATTATAATTAGACGTGGGCTCTACCTTGGAACACCATTTCCAATCCCTTTCCTAGTTTGCTAAACAAGTCCCTTGCCAGCATAGTAATTAGGCCACAGTACTCTTAGCTACTGTTCAAGTGAGGGGTGTAAAACCCTGATAGGGCCCTGACACTGAACTTCGGATTATCAGAGTGACCTGATACAGACAAAGGTATGTCAGCAATGATCACTACACAGCTAGACTGAGACGGTTACAGATAATCAGAGGCTGGCAGCTTTTCACATCACTAAACTAACTATACCTGTGAATAGCACCAGCGTGACCATGGGAGTGAGCAAAGCCAAGCGAAAATACTGGCTGAAACACCAGTATTTGCAGGTGCCTGCCTGTCTGAAGGAGGAGTCCATTGGCAGCTATTAATTCTGAGTGCAGGGAAAAGGTGAAAGGGAGGGAATCGCAGCCAATATTTTAATTGATGGATCTCTACAGGAAGTAGTTGGCGAGGTCAGCGCTGTAGAACTTAAGTATGCAGTGTTTGCATGTGTCTAGATGAAATGGAGAGGCATTTTGTCCGTCTATAAGTGGATAAATGACAGAGTTTGGACATCATAGTTTGTTTTGTTTTTTTTTGTTTTTTTTCCAATAATGGCCATTACCACCATTAAAGTGCACTAATTCATAGACGGTGAGGAAATCCCTGTTTGCTTTTCTCTTTGCAAACGGAGGAAGAGGAAACATATTTGGGATCGTAATTTTTGGACACTTCAAACAGACTAGGATTTATGATGTGTCTAATCCTGCTGAGCGCGTCAGTATCCCTGGTGGGAGTGTAGAGCGCTTTGCTGAATATAGTGCACTCACTCCCAGACATACAGCCATGCACGCATGCACGCATTTACACACCGCCCCAGCCAACACAGCTATGCTTATTCATATGCAGCGTACATCAGAATGTGGGAGACTATAGCTCAATAAGGACACAGAAATTTATCAGAAACACATCTTTTCACCATAAATACAAAACAAATCCACTCCATTTATACACTTGAACACAAATTAAAATGTGACACAAACAAAGAAACAACTAAGCCCATTGCAATCATGGCTTTTTTTTACTGAGAGCTCTATAGATGTACTGTGACAATATTAATAAAATGATCTAAGCTATCACTACCATTCACTCCTGATTAATAGAAGGATGAGCTAAGTAGAGAGGAGGGAAATGTGAGAGTTGGCATTCTATTAAAGAAAGGTATGTGAGAGGTGATTAGGGGAAAGGGAGCTGGAGGGGATGATCATCATACAGGAGAGGACTAATACATGGCTGAGAGACTGGAGAAAATGGGAGAGGGAGGGGGGTGAAAAAAGAGAAAAGAACCAGAGAGAAATAAGTAGTTGGAGAAAAGACGAGGATGAAGAGTGAGCCAGAGGGGAAACAGTATGGAGGAGTAAATAAGGGGGAGAAATCCAACTGGGGAAAAGGGACGCAGACAGGAGGATTCAGCTGTAGTTGGGAGGGGGGTATAAGTAAGTAACAGTGTGTGTGTGGATGCACACATGCAATAGCAAAGACCTGGGATGAGGCTGAATGCAGCAGCCATGCTAATGAGGGCTTGGGGAAGTATTCAGACGGCTGAGAGCAGGGCACTGTGAAAGCATCACTTGTGCTCATACTCAGCTCAGCTGCTGGCTTCACTCAGCACTCAGGAAACTCTGTAAGGCTGCTCTGACTGTGACATGTGAATACATAAGTTGCACAGAGAAGAGCTAAGAACACCTTAGATTGTTTTGGAAATGCAAACAAAAGCCCTGCCTGTGATTAACTCTAGGGGTATTCAAAATTTGATGACTGTGTCAGAGGCTAAAGAACCTCACTGACCTTCACTGTGGTGTAATAACGCTTGCAGAAACCACGTAAGGAACTCACATTCCACCAAGAAACCTTTTAGATCCCTGCTTTTTTACTTGAAGGTATGAATAATTAATAGAGCAAATAACAATTAATAAATGGGGCATGTAATGTAGGTGTTTACTCAACTTAAATGTTAATGTATGTGCAGGTTGTGCAAACACCATAACCCAGCAGTTATGCTGAAAATCATATTTAAACAATTCATTTCCATTTCACAGGACAAGATTTCCTAGTGTGAAAAACAAAGGGACCATCATTCTTGTTCCCATTGAGCGATTCTCTTCTCTAATAGTGACTCCAACCATTAGAGTCCATCATTGTAATTTTTTTTCGTCTAGTCTGAGTGCTGCGGTGAAATGTCCCTCAAGCCTGATGATATAGCCTTTTTCCACATGCTGTGTGGCCAGTTATGGAGTGGGACAGTTAACCTTGCTTGGTCAGCTACTATTGAGAGATGGCAAAGCAGGAAGAGGGGCACTAGAGACTTTATCACATGAGTCTGAATACCTTTTCAAGGCAAACTAATAGAAAAGGTAAGTCACCATCTTTCAAGAGGAGCCAGGAGTACAGGAAGAAATGTCAATGATTCTTGTGTAGTTGTTGTTGTCCCTTCACTTATGGCTTCAAGTGCCTTCCCAGAAAAACAAAGATGAAACATCAAAGTTGTGTCAAAAGATAGCAGATCATTATGTTAATTTGCTAATTTTCCTAATTTCTCAAGTAACAATCCCGTACATGATTTAGTGTACTCCATATTCATGAGCGTCTCACTTTGTTAGTGTGTGGGTAGCTCTTCCTTTATTTTGCATTCCTTAGCATTTCAACTGTTGCTCTAGTGAAGGTTCAGAGCACGGTGCAAACAAAAGCAAAAATCCACAAATAAGCAAAGCAAATGAGGAAGTAAGAATGACAGAGCAGGATGTCGAACAAAAGGATCTCACTGTGCTACGTGTTGGGTAATGTCCATGATATAAATGATGATCAGGAAGGTCAGGTCCCATCATTGGAAATGTCATGCAGTTCCACTGAATTCCATTATACAGACCAGAGACAGAGGTAGAGCCACTGTGCTGCTGCCGCCCAGCACTGACCTTTCAGGACGCATCACCCAGAGGAAATGCCAATTTCCAATATTTACTGACACGGCAGCATTCTAATGTGCGGCTGCCAGCAACCTGTTGGAGAGTGCCACGGGGCAGTGTACAGAGAGGGTGCTTTCTGATATGTTTTTGATTAAATTGATATTTACATTGTTCTCAGATCTAAGCAAGGTGATTTTGAGTATTTCTGCATGGTGTCTTCATCGAAAGTACTTTGCCTTTATACTCTAAACTGTAGCTTGGCTATCAGACAGCCAGATAATGTAAAGCTACCTTTTTCAGTCATTTCACCTGTTCCATAAAGCTTATATTTAATTAAGCTGAGAAACTAAATTGAAAAAGAAAAACAGACGCTACATTTCTAAAGGTATGCTGATAACTATGCCTCAAACCTATAAATCACCCTATATCATAATGTACCTATAGCCCAAAGTGTCCTCCTGCCACAGTTAAAAGACAAGCTCAAACAAACAAACAAACAAACAGAAACCTTCACTCAGGCAAGCTACAAGGGTTTGGTGGTGTGGCTGGATTTCCAGAGCTGAAGGCGAAGAAAACAGATCCAAAACTTATACCAGCTGGCACGTTTCACCATGAAGGTTTACTGCTCTCTAACATATAAAACATCTACCTGGGGAGAAAACAAATATCAGGCACAAAACATTTGTGTGCCTGATATTTGTTTTCTCCCCCTGGTAGGCACACAACATCTGTGTACCTGTGTGTGGGTTGTGGATGATTACCTGTGCCTAACCTGAGAAAGGACTTTCAGGACAACAAGACACAGGGCGCTTTTATCTGCCATTACACCTCAAAACTGCCATGGGGTTACAGAGGTGTGTGTGGTGTGTGTGTGTTGTGTGTGTGTGTGTGTGTATAAGTAATATATATATAGATATATATATATAATATAATATATATATATATATATATTATATTATTATTATATATATATATATATATATATATATATATAATTTTTTCAGTGCCATTGGGAAAACAGTGTGACTGAGATCTACATCAAAGTTTAAGGAG